AAGGTATGCTCTAGTGGGCGGCTACCCCCTCACTCCCTGGCCTTTTGGCTAAGACTAAGTTTTATGTTCACTCGGGATARCGTGKRAGRGCCRAAATCTCTAACCGTAACGTAAGCCGATTCGACGCCTCAGCTTCATAGAATGTCTCGGGGGAATCGTCCCATCTTTTTCGTTTTTTATTTTCATTATTTCTTATGTATGTCAGGGGGGGTTGCATCTTCTACTGAAGTGAAAGTCCTGAGTTCGAGTCCTGACGCGGGAATTTCTCTTTTTTGCTTGTTCATTGTTTCTATTTCTATTTTCGTTTTTTTTTTTCCTTCTTCTTCTTCTTCTTCTTCTTTTTACTTTTTTTTACTTTTTCTTTGCTGGTGTCACTTAGTTTGTTTTTCTTTAGATATTTTCTCTTTTCAAAATAAAAATATCAAGGACTCGCAAGGAACGCCTGCTACAACTGGATGGTTACGGTTCGGTCTCGACACAAAAACACAACATGTAGTACTGACCGACGGGGAGGGTACACAACCACGGACATGGGACTGTAAACAAAAAATACATTTCGCGTTTCTCCACCTACACATCACCAAAAAATTACACTTCCGAAAATCTGCGCTTGCACAACTTGCACTTGTCTCCCTGCGTGAGATCAGAGTTAGTGTTGACCATGACTCTTGAAATTCCTGACTAGGTCGGCTCGGTGTTGGCCAAATGATACGAATGAGCCAGCAAACCACAGCCCGAGAGTACATTGCAAGTTAGCAGAAGGCAAAGCGGTCTCAACTCTCTAATTCCAGCTGGATCAATGATGGAAAAGATAGAAGAACCAACTTTAGAGATTCCTCGAAAGTTGTTCAAACTGATCAAATTTGATCATGATGAAATGCTTAGACTTAGAAACGATTCTTCATTTTTTAAAGTCACTTCCTACTCAAATTATCTCAAATTATCAATTATACTTCGAAACACTCGTCTCATAATTTAACAATGCAATGTCTCCTTTATTCACTCCTCAAATACAGTGTTTAGAAGAAAAAAAAAACAGAAATGAACATATTTTTCGTTAAACTCCTAGTCGACGAAAATGGGAGATGATAATAACGCTGAGGAAATCCGTTCCCATCCAACAGAAAACGTAAGTGATACTGAGCCCGCCGGGGGGGGGGAGGGGGGGTACTCCCCTATATTTGCTATACGGGCATGTGCCGCAGATTAGCTTCCCTTTTTCGGAGCTCCAATTCTGGGATAGGGTATCATTTTTTGCCCATTTGTCTGGGTTAGGGCAATAGTTTTGCCGACCAGCTATCTATTTCCATGATATCAACCGCGATTTTGTCTACCATCCGTACCGATTTATCAAGCGGTCTCAGCGCTTCTCTTACATCGCAAGCACCACAAAAGACCACCGAGCCCATGGACCAGCCGGTTGAGTATGCCACCGGAGAGTCTTTGGACCAAACGGTGAAATAACGGAAAAGAACAATGCCCATAGAAGTTGACGTGCAGGTGGATACCTCATTGAAGGAAATGTAGGACAAGATTTTGGATGTCCTGGGGCCCTTGTGTACAATGTATGAGAACATAAACAAGNTATAAGTGTCTTCATAGTACGATGGTCTAAGAGGGTAGCTAAAGGTATGCTCTAGTGGGCGGCTACCCCCTCACTCACTGGCCTTTTGGTTAAGACTAAGTTTTATGTTCACTCGGGATAGCGTGGAAGAGCCGAAATCTCTTACCGTAACGTAAGCCGATTCGACGCCTCAGCTTCATAGAATGTCTCGGGGGAATCGTCTCATCTTTTTTCGTTTTTTTATTTTCATTATTTCTTATGTATGTCAGGGGGGGCTACATCCTCTACTGAATTGAAAGTACTGAGTTCCAGCCCTGACGCGGGAATTTCTCTATTTTGCTTGTTCATTGTTTCTATTTCTATTTTCGTTTCTGTTTTTTTTTCTTTTTTTCTTCTTTTTGTACTTTTTTGTTACTTTTTCTTTGCTGGTGTCACTTTATTTGTTTTTCTTTAGATATTTTCTCTTTTCAAAATAAAAAATCAAGGACTCGCAAGGAACGCCTGCTAAAACTGGGTGGTTAGGGTCTTGGATAGGGCCTCATTTTTTGCCTATTTGTCTGGGTTAGGGCAGTAGTTTTGTCTGGGATAGGGTAGTTTTTTTGTCTAGGGTAGAGTATAGTCTCATTGTATAAGGTAGGTTGGAGTTTTGCCTGTGATCGTATCTGCTAGGCCACGCTTTCAGCGCTAAAATAAAGTACCTTTGTACCTTAAATCACGGGTAGGATATGCAAAATCAAAAAAATTGGTCTGGGATAGGGTAAGGGTTTTGAGAGTCGTGTGGTACAACCCCAAACCAAGTTGGGGAGGTAGTACCCCCCCCCCCCGGGATACTGAATCATCTTCACCCACACAGCTGGCACAAGCTATCGTTGCCGACCAGCCATCTATTTCCATGATCAACCGCGATTTTGTCTACCATCCGTACCGATTTATCAAGCGGTCTCAGCGCTTCTCTTACATCGCAAGCACCACAAAAGACCACCGAGCCCATGGACCAGCCGGTTGAGTATGCCACCGGAGAGTCTTTCGACCAAACGGTGAAATAACGGAAAAGAACAATGCCCATAGAAGTTGACGTGCAGGTGGATACCTCATTGAAGGAAATGTAGGACAATTTTGATGTTATTTGAAGCTCTTTGAAATTTTGATGATACTTTAGGCGTCCAGTATACTCATGAAAGGAAACGCTCTTTGTACAGGTTTCAAAGTCAAAGGAGCCCGCGCGCCTAATACACTACAATAATCGGACCTAGAAAAGACATGCAAACCAGAAGGGGTTAGTCACGAATGGACCAGGATCCGACTAATCACCTCCCTCGTGGCTGGGCGCAACGGTCATCCATTCGGATGGGTGACCGTTTTGTACTCGATTTTTTTT